GATTAATAAACTTACCAATGTAGTGGAAATGTCCTATATGTATGTACGAGGGGCTGTCCAGAAAGTGTCCAGCCATATATATCTCTATTTTCATCTTACATGGCTGGATACTTTCTGGACAGCCCTCATTTACATAAAATTCTGTGGTCATCGCACTAGCTATCTTTGCCAGGAACTATTTCAGAGATAAAACTATAACCCATTTCGTATTTAACCTTTTAACCTTAAGGCAAAATATGAGTTGTTATGTCTATCACAATCGTAACTAATATAGAGAAGGGTGATACTGTGTCTGGCTAGATCTTTTTAGCTCATGAAAGTCATATATGGAATTGATGTATTATGCATGGAGTTCTTATATAAGTTAAAGAACCATGTTTATTTCCAGATTGCCACTGGCCTAGAAACACTCTGAATATTTAATGGTGTGGCTATTGAGAAACTAACAGCAGTGATAACAGATTTTGGACCTAGAAATATAATGTGACTAAATCAAATTCGTGAACTCAGTGATACAAAAATCTCTGCAATTGTTTTTGTTAAAGAATGAAAAGTATTTATGATGGTCATTTTTTTAAATCATCCTCTGTGCTTATAGAGAAGATTTCCAAAAATTTTTGCGAAGCAAACTTTTCAAGCAAGTTTATTTGTAATTAATGATGATGTGTTAGCAGTGACGAACCATTATGTCTAAATGACCTTTCTTGGAAAATCATTGTTTTTATTTTTTTGTTTCTTTTTACTCAATTTCAAAAACCTGATAAATTTTGCTTTTCTTATTTGTATTTTACATTTTACTTAGCCTTTGCCTTTTCCTCCAGGGAGAGTCTTCTACTCTCCCTTAATAAACAAAATTTGAATTTTCATATTTAAAGAACTATATCATTTTGAGTGTTCTCAATTATTTATTACCACCATGTCTTCTTCAGCTTGCCAAATTTCTTGGTATTCAGTGTTTGGTCCTAGGGCTACAGAAAAAGGAGACGTCCGTATGAGACTGTCAAGTTAGCGTGTCTAACTGTGGAAGAAAGTATACTTGCATGACTTATAACTTATCAAATTCCTTATGTTCCAGACTATATTCATCAGGTAATCCTGTATACATTGAATCCTATCCATTTTCCTTAATAGTTTCTTTCTGCCTCTAGATTTCATTTTTACCAAGATAGGTAGATAACTACATTCTGCCAAATTGTTCTTAAAACAGAAACCTTCACTGGATCCCAATTTCTTCTACAAACTTAGTTCATTTATATGTCAATAAGTGCCCAATCTAAGAAATAATCTCAGCTTCTTCAATCTTATTTACCTTTTACAACTAAAAATACATGTTTAATTTTGGTACATATCCAGTTAAATCTAATGAATCATTTCCTCTTTGCACATGTTACATAATTTTGTGCTGTCATCCTTAACTTAATAATTGAATTTCAATGAGAATAAAATAAGCCCTTGACTTACATTTTGACTACCTGCCACCAAATATAAATAAAATTTTGCAAGTGATATTATATCAAATAGTGACAATAAATATTTTTGGGTAAAGATTTAATTTGTATTGACAATTTATTCATTTATCTATTTTAAGGCCAGTCAAATCGTTTTAGAATATGTCTGTCTAGAAATGGAGCCACCCTTTTCTGCCTTGCATCACACTATCTTCCTCTTTCTCTTCATATAGTTTTTACTGCACGTTCTACTTATTTGTGTCTGTGCCTTTTGTCTTCTATCTGATAGTAAGCTTTCTGGCAGAGTAAGACTTGCACCTACACTTTTGAAATAGTTTATGTACTCTGTGTATATAAACAGAATAGTTATATAGAGAATACATACATTATTTGACATAACAGAAACATCAGTTTCCAAATTAATTTTGGTGATAATTAGACAAAGTGTAAAATCAAAAGAATTAGGCTTGAATTTTTATTTTACTCCTGAGAAAAATTAATCATGAACTCAAGGGACTGAGAATAGGAACACAAAGTTAAAAATGCAAGATAACAAGTCTGGGCGCAGTGGCTCACACCTGTAATCTAGCACTCTGGCAGGCCAAGGTGGATGGATTGCCCTGAGCTCACAGGTTCAAGGCCAGCCTGAGCAAGAGCAACATCTCATCTCTAAAAATAGTCAGGCGTTGTAATAGGCATCTGTAGTTCCAGCTACATGGGAGGCTGAGGAAAGAGGATCACTTGAGCCCAAGAATTGGAGGTTGCTGTGACCTATGACACCACAGCACTCTACCAACGGTGACAAAGTGAGACTCTGACTCAAAAAAAAAAACAAAAACAAGATAGCAATGATTGAAAATGTTAGGTTTAACTGAATATGGATGGGAATTTAATCAAAAGTATTGATTTGAAACAGCCAACAAGGTTCTTAAGATACTATCCTTTGTCATTCAGATTTACACTATTGCTTTCTGTTCACATTACCAACTTGAGTAGCATCGTGGTTGTCACTACTTTATACCCAGATGTTACCAACCTTTACTTTAAATTGGGAATATAAAATATTTTATGTGATTGACTCAATTAGCTAGATTATACCTTTTATTCTCTTACTGAAATTACAAATGATTTGAAAACTATGAGTCCACTACCTTTGAAATAATCACTATGCTTTATTTTCTCAACACATTTTTCTTTTAACCAGAACCATATACTTGGCTGGTATCATCTGGTGTAAGTAGCAAGGGATGACAACTTGGTGAGAATGATTTGTCCCCAAAACTCAGCTAAAATAGTCACACTTTCTAATTGACAAAAATTCCGATGGAATCAAACTTGTATTCTGGTATATTAAAATTTTTCTAACTTATTTACATTAGGACTTGGCCCGTGGGAATGCTTAATACACACCTGCACTTGGTTTTTAGAATCCGTGTGACAACACAGCACAGTGATGCAGCTATTTGTATCTGTTATTGTTTTTGTGAAAGTCTGAATCTGAATGAAAATATCTTAAGATGTGCCTCAACCAATTAATGCTTTTTAAAACCACATAGATTATCAAGATTGATTTTCTGTAGCTACTATGGAAGTTCCTCCTTCAGGGACCATTCAACATAAGAGCTAGAACTTTTATATTTGACATAAGAAATCAAATCAGCTTCTTCCCCATGACTTTTATATAAAAGCATTACTGTGAAGAAGGCAAAATTTACTTCAGTGCAGCTTTGTCATGAAATTAAAAAGGGAATTGATATTGAGTGACCATACACAGAAAAAACGAGTGAACCCATAATGCATCCTAATGTTTTATAGGCAGAATTTTACTGCAGCTGAAGAATCAACCTTTGTCTTTATTCTTTTAGATCAGAAAATAAGAGTTATAATGGCTTACAGATTGCAAAATAGTCACAGACAATAAGCTATAGTTTAACACTTCTAAAGAAATTGGAAACTAAAGTAAGAAATGAAACGTATCTCTGATAGTATTCTGGAACAATAAGTGGTTTTGTCTTTAAATAATTTATTAAGCTAAGTAACTAGAAAGAGTGAGCCAGTAGGAAAAGCTCTTTGGAATTGAAGTTCTCAGAGGACAATGTAACATATATATGAAAGCGATATTATGTGTAGAACCCTCCAACCCTGTGCCTTACAAAATGGGTACACATTAAATGGTAACAATAAGAACTACATGTTTAGCCTTTATTTGTTGTGTTAGCACAGGTAATAAGAAAAAACATAACATGAATCGGGAGGAATCCTGAAATAGTTTTAGTCTGACACAGTCTGTGATCATTTATCCTATAATTTTATCAGAGGGTAGACTTTAGTTTACAAAAGCATTAACTAGACAATTTATCAAAGAGTCAACCCTTCCTCTGCTTCCACAATTCAGCTGAAATAGTTTGGCTAGAATTCCAAGGCATTTGTTTGTATTTGTTTGTGCTAAGGACCACCACAGTTGATTTAGTGAAGTTGGCTGTGGCTTACATACTGAAGACCAAAGATACAAGGAAATGTTTTAGTTAACATATCAGAAAACTCTACTTTCCAAGATACGCTTGGTATCTTGGAAAAAAGATACCAAGCAATTTGAGCCTTTCAGTGTTCCTTGGTCAATTTCATGAGGAAATGTGATTAGTATGAAGAATGATTATTTTAATATGAAAGTAGATAGAGATTTATGCACAAATGATTCTTGAAAATTTCATCTATAGTTGTAAAACTCTGCTCCATAAGTAGAACTATATTTGGCCCAAAAAGAAATAGGCAATTATGGGCTAAACCATAATGATTTTTTTGTTTAAACAAATTTAATGTAACAGTGTTTGAATACATTTATGACATAAATACTAATTTTGAAGATACTAGGCTTAAAAATAATTTTATTTGGAACAAATGCAGATTATTTCTCCCCCAAATGAATATTTCCCTGGGTGTGTCTTTAGTGCAATTTTTCCTTTCCTTTTTTTTTTTTCTTTTCATCATTTATAATGAAGAGAGTAAACTGCTAGCCTCTTCAGCAGTGTTTTTAATCTCACAGCATACTTGAACCAATAGTTACACAGCACACTTAAATTATGTTGAAAAGAAAAGCCAAAAGAAAAGTTTGTGGCACACCTAAGTTGTAAAGCACAAGTTTACACAGCACACTTAAATTACATTGAAAAGAAAAGCAAAAAGAAAAGTTTGTGGCACACCTAAGATTTCTTGTGGCATACTGGTTGAAAAATCACTGCTCTAGAGGTGGTGCCTATGGCTCAAAGGAGTAGGGCGCCAGCTCCATATAGTGGAGGTGGCAGGTTCAAACCCGGCCCCAGCCAAAAACTGAAACAAACAAAAAATCACTACTCTAGGGATTCCACACATTTTTAGATTTTTAAAAAACCCAATCTTTAATCATAATCTTAAAAAATCACTGTGTCATTGATTTAGAAAAATCTCCATCTATAAATAAAACAACTAGAAATTAACAACTTTTCACTTTGAAAAATACACAGAAACAGATACATTATAATGCAGTTAATCTGTTCATCGCTGTTTTATTTGCAGATTCAAGAATGGCTTTGTTTAAATTGTCAAACCCAGAGAGCAATATCAGGACAGCTTGGAGAAGTAGGCAAAATGCCCCCTGCACCGTCAGGACCCAAAGCGTCCCCCACACCTGTACCTACAGAACCGCCGTCTCAGAAAACAGCAGCGCCTCCGCAGGTAAGAGTGAAGGAGGAAGAGCAAGAGGTCAAGGCCGAAGCTGAAAAAGCCCTTCTGGAGAAAGCACCAGAAACTCCTTCCATCGAAAAACACCCTCCTGAGGCAACCACAGATCAGAAACAAGAAGAAGGAAAACTGGAGAAAGGCAAAGCTTCAACCGTTCAAGAAAAAAAGCCAGCTCCCAAAGACCAACATCTACCCCCAGAAGAGAAAAAACCAACCGCGGAAGAAAAGAAGCCGCGTCCCGAAGAAGAAAAGCCACCCCTGGAAGGAAGACCAGCCCCTGAAGACAAAAAGGTACCCCCAAAGGCAAAGCCATCGCTTCTCCAAGAGGAACAGAAACAGGACATACCCAAAACTCAAGTGCACATTACAAAAGAAAAGGGTGAAGACACGGTGGCTGCACAGGCTGTACAAGAAGAGAGGCAGCCACACACCGAGGCCAGAGATTTGCCAGCTGGCACCCCTCAGCGTGTGCCCACGGAAGACGATAAGACAACCAAAAAAGCGAAAGAGCAGCCCCAGGCAGCGTGCACAGCCAAAGCCCATCAGGCAGAACCTGGGAAAGAAAAAACAGTAAGTTCTGTTTTCCTGTGCACTATCTCATGTATGGATGTAAAGTTACTGATTTTTACCTAAGCACCCAAGTTGCTCAGTGGTGTTTGTAATAAGTGCAGGCCCCAGAACAGTGAATAACAATTTCAGAGAAGGGCTAACAGTGATTAATAATTTCAGAGAAGTTCAGTTGTTTGCTGAACATGAAGAACTTGGCCTTTTGACAACTTCGTCTAGTTCACATAAAGCATAGATCTAACATTTATTTTTCTGTGTCTTCTGCCTATCATATAATTTATCAAAATCATTTAGAGTAATAAATGATATAGTTCTGTTTCTTTTTTTCTCTCTAGTAGGGAGATAAAAGTCAAAATCCCCCTTTAACATAAAATAACGTGTCTTATGTGAGTTGTTGTTCACTTAGCCATTGGTTACACAAGAGTCAACTTCTTTTTCTTCTTCTTTTTGGGGGGGAATTGAAAAAAAAGGAAAAATGCTGTGCCCAAATCCAAAACTTATGTCATTTGGAAAACTCACAAAGTAGTTTTTTCAGTACTGAGCATGTTTTTAATATGATGTGTTTTGCTAGGAATTTCACTCAATATGTTTAATATTGAAAGGCTGTTTATCATCCAAGCATAATCTGCAAACATCTATGTTCTTTAATGGAAATTTTTTAGAATAACTCATTTTCACTAATATTTGCACAAGCAATGATGTCACTCTTTGTAATAATTCTGATTTTTTTAGAACTACAAGAGATCCTACATCACTTATCTAATTGAATAAATTTAATTCATAGAAGACAGCAATTATTTAAAGAGGAATAAAATGATGTGTTAATAATAAAACTCTTCAGTAGAAACTAGTCCATTCCAACTCTGACTCGGTTGTTTTTTGTTTACATTTCTAATACATGCTTGCTAATTCATCTCTCTGGCATATTGTGCATCACATATTAACTACATAAATCCTGATCTTCCCTTTTTATATAAATATGTGTCTAGCCACCGCCCCCAGCACCTGTTTCTTCCCCCAGCTGACCTTTGTAGAACCTGATGCTTGGTCCTCTCTGCCCCTTTGAGAGACTGTCTATCGCTTCCCTGACCCTCTACTTTTTTGCTTCATTCTCTTTTGTCTTTCTGATCACACTTCACAAGTTCTGCTTCAACTGTCTTCAGCATTTCCCTTTGCTAGTTCCAGATGATAAAGTTTTCCTTGTTTTTCTTTTAATTTCTGTCTTTTCCTCCTAGGGGAGCCACATAAACAACATTAAATCCATTAGTGGACCGAAAGTCCCTATTTTAAGTGTCAGGCCTACAATTGCAAGGACCTGGGAGGTAGCTCCACTTCAAAGCCTCATTATAAATTGAAACTTAATACTTGTGAATCAGACTTACCTCTCTATAGAAGCTGATTTTGCTTCTGACTTTCTAATTCCGATAATGGCACTTCATTCACCTGTCTGCTGTCTCCCAGTCACTAATCTTCTGAGTGATCAAAGGTTTCTTCTTACTGCCCTTTGTTCTCCACATCCAAATTATCACACTCCTGTCCATTTACTGGTTTCTCAGGACATTGCCTTATTTACAGTATTCATGACCTTTTGCCGATTATCGAGTAATCTAATTACTGGTTACCATGCCTTCCTGATCTGCTGTCTCCATCGTACAGATGGCAGGTAAGTGTTTTCCAGGGTTCAGGTAATTTTACTCCACTATTTAGATATTCCTACAAATTTCTAATTGAGTTTTAAATATAATCAAAACAAGAATTCTTCATATAATTTGTTAATGCTGTACTTTTTCCCTTTATTTTAAACCTTTATCACTTTTTAAATCATTATAATGGTTTAAATGAATCATTATTATTTCTTCTATTATACAACCTCAATATGTATATATTTATTTATAATTGAATCAGTATACTGTTTTACTAATACATTATTTATTTTATAAAACATTCAAAAAGTGACTGAAATAAACTAAGATTACTATTTTACTATACTTATTTCAATGTAGACACATTTGATCACATTAAAGGTGGATGAATAATAGTGTTTTAGAAGACCATTGATTGAATATGCCTAAGTATTTTTTTAAAATCTTGCTCTGATATTTTATGAGAGAGTTACATAAAAGATGGCCTCAACATTGAGCTTATATAATCTTTTGCTGTTTAGTTTTAATGACTATCCATAGCAGAAAAAAAGATAATTCAGAAGGATGCACCAGAAATGGAAGAAGTGGACCAGAGGTTGTGCTCACCAAATCTTGCTACCTGTTTCCCAAGGATGGAGTTAAAAACCAATTATGAAAAAAAAAATTGTGGCAATTTCACAAATCGATATTGACAGTCCTTAATACCAATCATTTATTCTTATTAACTTTAAGAAAATGTGACACTTTAAAAAATTTTTTTTCAACAAATAGTTCTAAAACCCACTGGAATTCTTCATCTGAAAGATTTTTAAACAGATTAAATTTTTTTTTTTAATTTTGTTAAATAAGAAGATATTACAGCTTCTAAAAGGGACTTAGGTCATTTTATGTAGCAAAATCACGTGATGATTTCTCAGAGAAACACACATTGTTTATTTTTCCTTAAAGACCCAGTTGGTAGCAAATTATTGACAACTAATATTTATTCCTAAGTATCTAACAAGTAGTATATTACTGATAAACACTGTCATCACCAAAATTTGAATAAATTTGGACCTGTTCCATTTTTAGAGATTTTAAATCTTTATGTTCTTCAGCTTTTAAACTAAATTCCCACAAGGTAATCAACAAACTTCTGCAATTAAAATAATTTCATGGTTATTGTTCATCTCAACACAAAATATTTAAAATGCCCTCAATATAGAGGTCTCATTAGTATATAATATACTATATTAGTACCTTCCTGAGACACTCTGTCCAATTTTGGCTTACTTATAATGAATATAGTAAATTAATTTCACATGTACTACTATTCCTCTAGCCTTAAACATTAAACAATAAGTTCAATCAGAGAAGCCACAACTCAATATTTAATATATCAATTTCTTCATTAACATACACACGTTTATCTTTATTAAGCAAATTATTCAATATTGGGCTGGGTGTTTACTGGTGCATTTTTCTTTGGGAACTAAGCTTAGTAATTCTTTATTTAATTATGAACATAGAAATAGGGAATATTACAAACTAGCATGTTAGAAACATTTATCCGTTGATTCCATCACCAGACATTCTGCTACTTAGTTTTTCTCCTACTTTCCCCCTAAAGCTGGCACAATGTTTCTTTGTTCTTTTCAACAATATCTGCTGACACCGGAATGCAGTTTGATTTCCACAGATTACTTTAGTCATTTTTCTGTGATAAAAATATGTTTTTTCCTGTTAGATAAGAAAATTTAAAAGGAATTTGCAAATATTTAGTGCTTAACTTAGTGAAAGCTTTTGAAGAGCTGGGAATCTCATTTGAGAGAATCATAGTGTTTTGTAATGGTGTTGTGATACCACTGGCTTTAACTCTAAAGCACACTATGGGCTTGGGGTAAGGTTTCCTGTTGGTGTGGTTAGATACGGATAAAGATTTCAGTTTCCTATTAACATCAAACGTTAATCACAAACGTCATGTCAGATCTTGTTTAATTTGATGACTGTTGTTTTTACCTTGGCATGAAAAGTTATGAAAGCTTGTAACAATATGAAAAGTGTCCAATCCCATATTAGTGTATGTGTGTGTTCTTTACATTACTAGTTTAATTTTTTATACGTCATTATTTTGAAGAAATCTTTAGTCTACCACTAACCCATTAAAGAAAAGTTGTTTTAGTTGAAACTAGGCAATATTAGCCATACACCTGCCTAACTGAACGATAAGCTTTAATATGAAGGTGAGCAAATGACGTGATTGCCTCATTGGAACTACTCTTTATAGAGTAACTCCAGTTTTCTCCTAGGGGTCCCACAGACCCTGTGATCAGCTGATATGAAAAGTCAGAAAATAACAGTGGCGATCCATTTATTACATATTAGTAGAGTTTATTTTCTACTTGGATTTGAAACTACAGTAAAAATTCTACTATTTTCCTGATGTCGTCCATTGGATCTTTTTTGCATAGCCACCAGGGTAATCCGCACCCCACGGTGGAAACTCCTGTCTCGGTGACAGAGTTGGCTTTCTCAGCCCTTCTGGTATTTGGCTCCAATACAACCTCTAGGCAATCCCTAACATTCCCTACAGTGAGAGATAAAAATAAACCTCCAACTATGCCTTTCTGTTATTCCTCAACTTAGCTTATGCCTCTCCTTCTTGAACCTGTTCTCAGGTTTTTTATGTGTACTGACTGTGCTTTCATATCAGCCCCATCAGTAAAATCCCCCCTGAATTTCCAGACCCCTTTCCTAGTACTACTTCTGTTGAGTCTCTTCTTCTCCCTAGTGGTAACCATTTCTCCTGCTGCTGAATTTTCCGTATTGATGGAATTTTAAAGTTAGTTTTTATTTACAATCAAATAGCAGTCTTAATTTATCCAGGCCACTGTGGTAAGCCCTTTCTCTCCCATTGAAACTACTTATCAATAAGTTTAATATTGGGATACTTGTTTTAAAGATGAGAAAATGAAATTTTGATGCCCCAGATCGTGTAGCTGGAAGGCAGAAGGACTAGGTTTATAGTCCAGTTCTGATCATAAAGATAGACGCTTGACCATTGCACAAGATGATTTTTTTCTATGACACTTTTAGCACCCTGTTAGCACCCTGCCTTTTCATTATTATAATTACTCATATCTCTTAGTGATTCCCACTATAATCTTATTTAATTTTTACTTTGCTTACATATTTGTATTTATTTATTCATTATTTTTATGTGTGTAATTTTCATGCCACAACATTTTTTCTCTTTGCTCATACCTATTTTTCAAAATGTTTTCATTTTGAAAATAAATAATTTAAAAGTATACATTTTTTAATATTTAGTTTAATAATTTCAAAAGTCATGTTACTACTAAATTTTCTTTTTTTATTTATATATATAAACAGAATACCATTTAAGTCTTTATTTGAAGCACTATAGCTCTCCTGATAGAACTTGGACATCCATTAGAGTATACATGTATTTCTGGTTAAAATGACCTAAGGGTTAGTATTTAAGTTACATATAGCCATTGTTTATAGTTAACATATGATTAGATAGGATGAAAAATAATTAAGTTTTCTGTTGTGACAAGGATTCTCATATTGCAGTGTTTTAGGTAAGAGTATCAGATCTTTCACACCTGGTTCAATGAATTTTATGGATTTAATTTTGTTTGGAGTATTTTAAATACTTAGACCAGCCATCTGTATTGATGTTAACTTTATATAAATTATTAAACATAATTTACTTGTTATTTAATTTCAGCCATTCAAAAATAAATGGCTTTAGGAAAATCAGAAACTTAACCTCGAGTCCTTTCTTTGCAGGTTTTGTATGTAGCCTAGATCAGTTCTTAACCCCATTAGTATTCAAAAGTTTTTATTTAGCTTTGATGTGGAAGGCTTTGTAAAAGGCAGAACCAAATTTGACCTTTCAGATATGTCTTGGTGCATTCTTCACTACTGGTAAAGGCCTGAAGGCTATACCACTATGGTAAAAGCTCCAAAAGGGGCTCGATTCAGCGTTCCTGTCTGACTGGTCTACAGTTCAAAAAATGGTGGTTGGATAGTGGAGGGAAAATGAAAAAGCCCAGAGAGCAAATACTTTGCAAACTGGCTACCTCATAATGTAGAAAAGGAAGAATCATTCAGGGGGAAAAAAATCATCACAACATCTTTATCATAAGTAAATAATGATTAAATCTAGAAGTAATATGAAAGATAGGGACTCAGAAGTAAGTGGCAAGAGAGTTTAGTGAGTAGAGCATAGGACAGAGGAAAGAAGCAGGAACATAAGGCCACTTAGGGAAGATTAGGGAAGGTGATAGAGCAGGATGTGTATATATATGTCAGTCTTCTGTCTACTGTCACTTAATTTCCTTTGTTACATTATGTATGTCTGATCCTAATCTTATGTTTGTGAAATGACCATAGAACCTTCAGAATCCATTGTATAAAACTGTGATTTATTAATTATACTCAGTCAATTGTTGTTACATATAATAATAGTTACACTATATGCATAGTTCTATGACATTGTGTTTTGCAACATAGGTAAACATGAAATAAAGAATACCCTTGACACTTTCAAAATTTGGTTATGAAAGATAATATTTTTGACCTTTTATTCAAAGGCCCACAAAAGGCAGCAAGTTCAAGACTATGGTATGTCTTTGAAGGCTCCCAGATCCCTGGGGAAACTCATGCTTCTTGTCACAAACATTAGTTATCATACTTGTTGAAGGAAGCTGCCTTTGAAGATAAAGGCATTTCAAAAGCAGTTTCAGAATCAGAGGTTAATCATACATAATATTAGTGAAACACCATTGGGGTGGGAAGCTGAATATAAAAGTGATTAGCAACTCTACAAAAATAAAAGATGAATATTTCTCTTTAGCTGAATTGATGAGTCAGACCAATTATTGCATAACCTTTTTAAACTTATAACTTATAAATATCATTCTAAGTAATACAGAGTTATAATATTAATACCAATACCAAGTGTATACAGTGTTTCAAAGTTTTCAGAGTATCATTAAAAAGCAGTACTTTGAGTCTCCCAACAACAATAATATATTTTGCAGTAAGGGGTACATGCATTATTGTGGTGTGTTACCTGCTTATTTTTAAGTAAATTTCCCGGATCCCATTCAATTTATGGCCAGATACAGGCACAAAGCTCATGCTCTCATTCTTTCTGTCCTTTGCTTAACCTCATAATTCAAAAGCATTAATTATGATGATGAAAAAGTTATTAAAATTCGCTTCACAATTTAAACTTTATCCCAAAGTAAATTTACTGAGAAAGAGAATCAGAAATTTTAAGGAAAATGCCTTTGAAATGTGAAAGATTAGAATACTTATGAAAGAAAATTAAATGTCATTGAGAATTGGCATTAAACTGTGAAACATAGTTTACATAAAAACTAACCTTGGTCAGCATGTATAAACTATTTTTATTTTTGTTCTCATTCTTTTAAAAATATTGACATATAATTGAATAATATCCCCAAATTATTCTTCAGTTCTTAATAGCTATTTGAGAGTAATAGAGAGGCAACGTCTTAGTTTAACTATGTTAAGTGTTCCTGTATCTTTTCCTCCCTGCTAGGAAAAGGAAGATGACAAATCGGACACCTCCAGTTCTCAGCAGCCTAAAAGCCCGCAAGGTCTGAGCGACACAGGATATTCTTCTGATGGAATATCGAGTTCACTTGGTGAAATTCCAAGTCTTATTCCAAGTGATGAAAAGGATTTTCTAAAGGGACTCAAAAAGGACTCTTTTTCACAAGAAAGCAGCCCTTCCAGCCCCTCCGATTTGGCTAAGTTAGAAAGTACAGTCCTATCTATTTTGGAAGCTCAAGCAAGTACCCTTACTGATGAAAAGTCGGAAAAGAAAACACCACCCCATGGGGTTTCTCCTGAGAAGCCTAAAGACCAACAGAAAACTCAGATTTTATCTGAAACCCTGGAAATGACTACTTCAGAAGAGGGGCTCAAGGAGAGTCAAGAAAAGAAAGACACTCTTAAGAAAGACAGCCAGCAAGGCATTCCTTCTGGCAAGGACTACAAAGAAAGGTCTGAGTTTGTTGATGATATAACTACAAGAAGAGAGCCTTATGATTCAGTTGAAGACAGTAGTGAAAGTGAAAATTCACCTGTTCCACAAAGAAAAAGGAGAACTAGTGTTGGTTCATCAAGCAGCGATGAGTACAAACAGGAAGACAGTCAAGGGTCAGGGGAGGAGGAGGACTTCATTCGAAAACAGATTATAGAAATGAGTGCTGATGAGGATGCTTCAGGTTCGGAAGATGATGAGTTTATTAGGAACCAGCTCAAAGAGATTAGTAGTAGTGTTGAGAGCCAGAAGAAGGAAGACACAAAAGGGAAAGGGAAAGTGACAGCGGGGAAACATAGACGACTGACTCGGAAAAGTAGTACAAGCATCGATGATGATGCAGGGAGACGTCATTCATGGCATGACGAAGATGATGAAACATTTGATGAAAGTCCTGAACTTAAATACAGAGAAACAAAAAGTCAGGAGAGTGAAGAACTTGGAATTGCTGGAGGGGGAGGACTCCGTCGATTTAAAACGATAGATCTCAACAGTACAATAGCCGATAAATATTCTGCAGAATCATCACAGAAAAAAACAACTTTGTATTTTGATGAAGAGCCAGAATTGGAAATGGAAAGCCTGACGGACTCACCAGAAGATAGGTCCAGGGGAGAGGGATCTTCAAGTCTTCACGCTTCCAGCTTCACGCCTGGGACATCACCTACATCAGTGTCATCACTTGACGAGGACAGTGACAGCAGCCCAAGTCACAAAAAAGGAGAGAGCAAACAGCAACGCAAAGCTCGACACAGATCACATGGCCCTCTTTTGCCTACCATTGAAGATTCTTCAGAGGAGGAAGAATTGAGAGAGGAAGAAGAACTATTAAAGGAACAAGAAAAGCAGCGGGAATTAGAGCAGCAGCAAAGAAAGAGTTCTAGTAAAAAATCAAAAAAAGACAAAGATGAACTTAGAGCTCAGAGAAGGAGGGAAAGACCAAAGACACCGCCCAGTAATCTCTCCCCCATTGAAGACGCCTCCCCAACAGAAGAGTTACGGCAGGCTGCAGAAATGGAGGAGCTCCATAGATCTTCTTGTTCTGAATATTCACCTAGCATAGAATCAGACCCAGAAGGTTTTGAAATAAGCCCAGAAAAAATAATAGAAGTACAAAAAGTTTACAAATTGCCCACAGCTGTGTCTTTATATTCGCCAACAGATGAGCAATCTATTATGCAGAAAGAAGGTAGTCAAAAGGCGTTAAAAAGTGCTGAGGAGATGTATGAAGAAATGATGCATAAAACACACAAATACAAAGCCTTTTCAGCTGCGACTGAACGCGATGAAGTGTTTGAAAAAGAGCCCTTGTATGGTGGGATGTTAATAGAGGATTATATTTATGAATCTTTAGTAGAAGACACGTACAATGGATCAGTAGATGGCAGTCTGCTAACCAGGCAAGATGAAGAAAATGGATTTATGCAACAGAGAGGAAGAGAGCAAAAAATAAGACTTCCAGAGCAGATTTATGAAGATCCTATGCAGAAAATTACAGACCTACAGAAAGAGTTTTATGAGTTAGAAAGCCTACATTCTATTGTGCCTCAAGAAGACATTGTTTCAAGCTCTTATATCATCCCAGAAAGCCATGAAATAGTGGATCTGGGTACTATGGTGACTTCCATGAGTGAAGAAAAGAAATTACTAGATGCTGATGCTGCCTACGAGGAACTCATGAAGAGGCAACAGATGCAGGTCGCACCTGGATCCAGCCCAACCCAGCTCCCTATCAGTGATGACATGACAGAGTCCACTGTGGACTTTGACAGGGCTCCTGATGCATCTTTGACATCAAGTGTTCTCTCGGGAGCATCTCTAACAGATTCCACCAGCAGTGCAACACTCTCTATCCCAGATGTTAAAATAACCCAACACTTTTCAACAGAAGAACTTGAGGATGAATATGTCACTGATTATACAAGAGAAATTCAAGAGATAATTGCCCACGAATCACTGATTTTGACCTACTCTGAACCTTCAGAAAGTGCTGCATCTGTCCCACCCTCTGACACACCTTCTCTCACATCATCTATTTCTTCGGTTTCTACCACAGACAGCTCCTCTCCTGTTACTACCCTGGATAGCATAACTACAGTTTATACAGAGCCAGTGGACATAATAACTAACTTTGAAGATTCAGAGGAAATTTCTTCATCAACTTATTTTCCTGGCAGCATTATAGACTATCCAGAAGACATAAGTGTATCTTTAGATCGGACACCCACACCAGATGGTAGAGCTAGTGCTGATCATGTTGTGATTTCCTTATCTGATGTGGCACCTTCCATTATAGAATCAGTAGGAACTAAACCTACAGAGCGACCAATCGCTGACACCATTTCCACTGACATATCTGTCTCTGAAAAAGACCCAGCGAAGAAAGCTAAGAAGGAAATGGGGAATGGAATTATTCTGGAAGTTTTGGAAGCTTACAGAGATAAAAAGACACAGTCTGAGGCTGAACTAACAACAACCAGTTTATCTGAAACTGTGCTTGATCAACCACCTTCTTCTGTAACAGCCCTTCCAATGAAGGAGCCACTTTCAACTGCGTACTTTGGACCTGGAGAGATCTTTGGTCAGGAAAAACCGGCACCTCCATTACCATCTGACAGTCCTATTTCTGCTCTTTCAACTAAAACTCGTCCATTCTTTAGAAGTTCTTCTTTGGATATATCAGCTCAACCTCCTCCCCCACCTCCTCCTCCTCCACCCCCTCCTCCCCCACCACCCCCTCCTCCTCCTCCACCACCCCTTCCTCCACCAACTTCACCTAAACCAGCTAGTCATCCTAAAAAAAAAGTAACAGCTCCAGCTCCAGTGACTCTAGCCACCACAGCTACGCCTGTGTTTGATGCTGTTACTACTGTAGAGACCACAGCTGCTTCAAGGACTAATGGGTTACCTGCAACAAAAATATGTACCCCTGTCCCTCCTCCTGTTCCTCCTAAACCATCTTCAATTCCATCTGGACTCGTATTTACCCATAGACCTGAGCCACGCAAACCTCCAATTGCCCCCAAACCAGCAGTTCCACAGCTTCCAGCAACTGCACAAAAACCAACAGATATACACCCCAAACCAACAGGTCTATCTTTAGCTACAAGTATGACCTTAAATTTAGTGACTTCAGCAGATTATAAATTGCCTTCCCCCACCTCCCCACTTTCCCCACACTCTAACAAGTCCTCACCAAGGCATTCCAAATCCCTCATGGAAACTTATGTGGTTATTACATTGCCATCTGAACCTGGGACTCCAACAGATTCTTCAGCTGTCCAACCAATTACCAGTTGGCCCCTAGGATCACCCCCCAAAGAGCTGGTTTCCATTGAACCAGTGTTTTCTGTGGTTTCTCCTATGGCAGCTGTTGAAATTCCAAGCTCTTCAGAACAGAGTCCGTACATCGCTGATGCTTTGGGGGCATTTCCTGCTGCCCCCGTCACAGCACTGTCATCATTTCCTGCAGCCCCCACCTTAGTTACACAGTTTCCTACAACAGAAGTTTCCAAGCCTGAGGTTTCAGCAACCAGAACTACAGCTCCCAGTGTTGATCTCAGCAGTGTCTCTATATCAATTCCTACAGAGCCTCTTGCTCTAGGTAACTTACATTTAGAGAAGCCTCAGTATAAGGAAGATGGAAAATTACAACTTGTTGGTGATGTCATTGATTTGCGTACAGCACCAAAAGTAGAAATTAAGACAACTGAAAAAGGTATAGATCTTTCTGCTTCTGCAATGGATGTGAAAAGGCAAATGGCAGCAAATGAAATTTATGGGAGACCAATTAGTGCTGTCCAACCCTCTATTATAAATCTCAGTGCGACTTCAGTAGTGACTCCTGTATCTCTGGTCACTGAGACCATGACCTTTGTCACATGCCCAGCTAGTGCAAGTTACACTACAGCCACAGAAAACCTGGTCGGTGTACAACATGCAATGACCGCACCACTCCAGCTTACTACAGCAAAGCATGCCGAGCCTTTGTATAGGACATCGAGTGACCAGGTCTTTCCCACAGTTAGGGAGGAAGCGCCAATAAACTTATCTCTAGGTACTCCAGCACATGCAATGACAATGGCTGTTACAAAGCCTGTCACTGTGCCTCCTGTGGGTGTCACAAACGGATGGACTGATAGTGCAACATCTCAGGGGATCACTGATGGAGAAGTAGTGGATCTCAGTACAACCAAAACGCATAGAACTGTTGTAACCATGGACGAATCTACTTCAGGTGTGATGACCAAAATAATAGAAGATGATGAAAAACCTGTTGATTTGACTGCAGGAAGAAGAGCTGTGTGCTGTGATATGGTTTATAAGTTACCATTTGGAAGGAGCTGCACAGCACAGCAGCCTGCAACTACTCTTCCTGAGGATCGTTTTGGTTACAGAGATGACCATTATCAATACGATCGATCAGGGCCATATGGGTATAGAGGGGTTGGGGGAATTAAACCTTCCATGTCTGACACTAATTTAGCAGAAGCTGGACATTTTTTCTATAAAAGTAAGAATGCCTTTGATTATTCTGAAGGAACTGATGCAGCAGTAGATCTAACTTCAGGGAGAATTACTACAGGTCAGTATGATGTGGCCGCAGATCTTTCCTTGAAATGTCATTATGGTGTCCCTCATCTCATTTCAGGATGAAAGGTGGTCCCTTTGCCGATTTTGTTACTTTTTCTCTTCCTTTGGATGTTTTTGGCAACATATTTTGGAATCCATATGCACTTTTATTTCTTCATTTTTTTAAGTTTCTTCTGTTCAAAGTCATCTGCATGTGCCTGCATGTTCAACATTGCTTTTATTCCGCATCTAATTAGGTTAACCTGTGGATTTGCATGCAGTCCCGCTCATTATGTTCATCAAGATGACAGGGCTTTCGAACCCCCAAAGCATCATTCATTCTGGGAACTGGACTATAACTCTGCCCTGTATTTCAGGTGAGGTAATGGATTATTCAAGCAAGACTACAGGTCCATATCCAGAAACACGACAAGTCATTTCAGGAGCTGGGATTAGTACCCCACAGTATTCCACAGCAAGAATGACACCACCTCCAGGACCCCAGTATGGTGTGGGGAGTGTTTTGAGGTCATCTAATGGTGTTGTCTATTCTTCAGTAGCAACTCCAATACCCTCCACATTTGCTATCACCACACAACCTGGTTCCATTTTCAGCACCACTGTGAGGGATTTATCTGGCATTCACACAACTGACGCTGTGACTTCGTTATCTGCCCTCCACCAGAGCCAGCCAATGCCCAGGTCATATTTTATAACAACAGGTGCATCCGAAACAGACATTGCAGTAACCAGTATTGATATCAATGCCACTTTGCAAACTATTACCATGGAAACTCTTACTGCTGAGGCAATAGACTCTGTTCCTACTTTAACCACAGCGTCTGAAGTATTTTCTGAAGTGGTGGGAGATGAAAGCACTCTTGTAGTTGTTCCTGAAGAAGATAAACAACAACAACAGTTAGACTTGGAACGTGAGCTCTTGGAACTAGAGAAAATTAAGCAACAGCGCTTTGCAGAGGAACTGGAGTGGGAACGTCAGGAAATTCAAAGGTTCCGAGAACAGGAAAAGATCATGGTTCAGAAAAAGCTGGAGGAGCTGCAGTCTATGAAACAACACCTTCTCTATCAGCAGGAAGAAGAGCGGCAGGCCCAGTTCATGATGAGGCAGGAGACGCTAGCCCAGCAGCAGATACAGCTTGAGCAGATTCAACAGTTGCAACAACAGCTACACCAGCAGCTGGAGGAGCAGAAGATTCGCCAGATCTACCAGTATAACTATGACCCCTCTGGGACTGCTTCTCCACAAACCACGACAGAGCAGGCAATTTTGGAAGGTCAGTATGCTGCCCCAGAAGGCACTCAATTTTGGGCAACTGAAGACACAACCACCACAGCTTCAGCCGTTGTGGCCATTGAAATACCACAAAGCCAAGGGTGGTACACAGTCCAGTCTGATGGTGTCACTCAATACATCGCCCCACCTGGCATCCTGAGCACGGTTTCAGAAATTCCTCTAACAGATGTTGTTGTAAAAGAGGAAAAACCACCCAAAAAGAGAAGTTCTGGGCCTAAAGTCCGAGGACAGTATGATGAGATAGGAGAAAATGTGGCAGATGATTCTCGGTCTTTTAGAAAGATAGTAGACAGTGGTGTACAAACTGACGATGAGGACGCCACAGACCGGAGTTACGTCAGCAGGAGAAGGAGAACTAAGAAGAGCGTTGATACCAGTGTCCAGACTGATGATGAAGATCAGGATGAATGGGATATGCCCACTAGGTCAAGGAGGAAAGCTCGTGGAGGGAAATACGGTGACAGCACGACAGAGGCAGACAAGGCCAAGCCCCTTTCCAAAGTCTCCAGCATAGCCGTCCAAACGGTAGCAGAGATATCTGTGCAAACTGAACCCGTCGGAACCATAAGAACACCTTCGATACGGGCACGAGTGGATGCCAAGGTAGAAATAATTAAACACATTTCAGCACCTGAAAAGACTTACAAAGGGGGCAGTTTAGGATGTCAAACAGAAGCAGATTCAGACACACAAAGTCCTCAATATCTGAGTGCCACATCTCCACCCAAAGACAAGAAACGCCCAACACCTTTAGAGATTGGTTATTCATCTCACCTCCGGGCAGATTCCACACTACAGCTGGCTCCTTCCCCACCCAAATCCCCCAAAGTCCTTTATTCACCCATCTCACCACTTTCACCAGGCAAAGCCTTAGAATCAGCCTTTGTACCTTATGAAAAACCCCTCCCTGATGAGATAAGTCCACAGAAAGTACTGCATCCAGATATGGCTAAAGTTCCCCCAGCAAGTCCTAAGACAGCCAAGATGATGCAGCGTTCTATGTCTGACCCCAAGCCTCTGAGTCCAACAGCAGATGAAAGTTCCAGGGCTCCTTTTCAGTATACCGAGGGCTACACGGTAAGAGTGATTCTTTTCAGTTGGAAGACAATGGATGAGTTGATGTTGATCATATGTTTGCAAATTTTAGGAGGCAATAAATCTCCTGATACTTTAGACACCTAAAATTAAATTGCAATAAAGACTATTGCATTAGAAATTTGTAAGAAAAAAATTATGAATTCACTTAAAAATACCAAAGATAGATAGGTAAGGTAAAATTATAATTTTATTATTTCATGACAAAGAGATTGAAAGTTTTATTCTAATATCAAAAATCTCCCAACTGTCAACTGTAGGCTGTGATTTTACTGAATATAATTAATCATTATTTTCAAGCATCATGGAATAAACATTAAAGATAAAAAGATAAGGCAAAGTATGACCATAGATTCAGACCATGGATACTGGAATTCTTTAGTGGAAAGAAGGTCTTGGAGACCATCTAGTTATTCCATCCTTTTACAGCCCGAATATTTTCATGCAAAGGTTTGGAACATTTACTGGTCAAGAGGGAGCTTCTGGGGCAGGCAGATAAAAAATAGTATAATCATCATGGTTTGTCCATGCTTATTTAATTTCTGGCAGCTTTTTTAATCTACCCTCAGGGAAGCCTTAGTCCTAGTACTTATAGATGCAAGAATTTTTTCTTGTTTCTTTGACTGATAGGGATTAATCTCAAATGTGTAGATAATGTTTTGAGCAGAAAAAGAATATGTACAAATATGTTAGAAATATCTGAAGATTACTATAATTGGTAATAATAAATGTTAGTTTTAATTGGCCTTAAAAGCAGGCATGCCCTACTTAAGAAAATATAATAAATAGCTGTTCTATTTAGGTTCTTGATAGATATGGGTTCTCGATAAATATAACACTTCAAGTTAGAATAAAAATTCTGTTCAAATTTAGTTTCCCTAATGCATAGTTAGCAAACTCTAGGTCTCTGCATGCTGAAGCTTCCAAGTTGGTTTCTCTGAGATGTTTCTGTATTTCCACTGCCCTATGTGTGTTACACATTGGCTGTGCACTGAATGAAGTGTCATTATATATCAGTATGTGTATGTGTGTAGACATATCTATAGTCATATTAATGAATTATAAATTTATTTCTAAGTTTTCTAGTTGTATATTGGTATTGTGTCATTATGGGTTTTTTTTTCCTCAAATGGTATAATCTAAACATAAAACTCTTCGTGTGGGGAAAGGAGATTATAACTACTGAGTCAGGAACCCCCTGGAGCACTAAGATTTCATCCAGTTTACAGGGTTATTTTATGCATAGCTTTGTTTCCAGAGTAAGTCTATTGTGAAAAGTGATTTTTTCCTTTATAATATGTAGGTATTTATCATTTACAGCTCTAGCCTATAAATTCACTTAAAGAATCACATGAAAAACTTAGAAATATGTATTTTGATGGTATTTTTAAAGTAAGAAGGCTTCTGTCAGTACAAAGAATAGGCTTTTCTAGTTGGTGTATTGACCATTTAATTAATATATATCCTTCTACTCTTAATTCAAATGAACTCAATTACACAGCATTTACTTTGAGTTCGGAAATGAATACAATGGGTCGTATAGGTTGTATTACTGATTGTATCAGCCATATTGATGAACTATCTAATCATGAAAGAACTTGAGAATTACCAAAATAATGCTCTAAGTCTGCAAAACCCTAACACAATTTAGTATTTCTGTCTTCCAGTTGGTCAAACTCAATGCATACTTTAATGTAGGATTATTATATACAAACTCAAGAGTATTGTGCTATTGCACACACAGGTTAGACTATTTTATATATAAGCAATGTTTTTGGCACTTTAGATGCGCGAGTTTTAGACTTGAATTTTACAATTTGTTCCTAAGAAAATGTCTATACAAGCTTTGAGTTTATTTTAAGGTACATCAAATTAATTCTTAATTATAAGTGGGGATTCCTATTAGCTGTACTGAAGAAAATAATTTAAGTGATAGTCTCACCAATGGGAAGTTAAGTCTAGTTCAGTAGCTTACAGATTGTTCATTTTCAAGGACCAGTTGAAGTAGTGACAATCATACCACTCAGCAGGGACTGAAACAGCATAGAAACATTTATAATGCAGTGTAAAGGATATGGTTTATACTGTCCCATCTCTTCATCCTGGAAGTATCAGGAGAAGTTTCAATGAGGCTCCAATTTATACAGATTGAGATCTCTGTTGGACCATAAAGAAAAAAAGGGAGGCCATTCTGTACGTTAGGAATAAAATGTACAAAGTTTCAGAATGATGAACAGACATAAAACAAAGAAAGAAAGAAATGTGGCTTACTACAAATGCAACTTGAGATTTGAGTGAGGACCATATTGCACAGGATTGAATTTGCTGAATTACAGAGTTTGGATTGATTTCTACTGATTGTGGGAACTCTAACCCCGAGCCATCATCATTTTTTAGTTACACCGTGCCCTGGCCCCTGGGCTGGTTTTACTCTTGCCTTCCCTGTGGACAGTTCTCTAAACATCATCTGGAGTGATTTTCTAAAATGAACATCAGATTTTGTCACTTATCAGACAGCTAAAATCTCTAGTAGAGTCTCATTAAAGTCAGAATATATTAGAAATTTCTTAATAAGGCCCCATCTGATGTGGTCTCTGCCTATCTCACCACTGCACTGGTCACTCTCCCCACGTTCCTCCTTCTTCTCTCTGCTTCCCCATTGGCCTTGCTGTTCCATGGATGTGCTAACCTCATCCCCACCCAGCCTGTGTCTAGATCTCTCTTTCCCCAGATCTGTGCATAGCTCACTCTTATTTATTGATTCACTCCGATTTCACATCCACAAAGAGGGTCTTCTTTGATCTCTAAATCACTATAATCTTTCACCACAAATCTCCATTTCTAGTTCTGAAGTTGTACATATTACCTACTAAATACATTGTATTGTATATGTAATTGACTACCAATCATCTTTCTTTTTCAATAGAACATAAGCTCTGTAAGAACAAGAATGTGGCCTTGCTTACTATAGTTCCAAGGGTCTAGAACAATGCCTGGCATGAGATTATGTGCAACATTTATTGAATAAATTGAATTTATAAAGGGACGCTTATAATCATAGAGGCAATGGGATGAGGAGTACATGGAAAGATTGGCTGCTTACATTTCCATTGCCACAACTTGGGCAATAGACTCTAGAAAATCCTGTTGATAATCTACATTGATATGTGTTTTACTTAAAGAGTTGCTTCCACTTTGTTAACTTTTCACAGACATCTGAAAACCTGAATACAAGTTGAATGTGATTTTTAGCTATTAGCAAGTCCAACCACCTCATAGATAAGAAACCAAGGGCAGAGTAGGCTACTAACTTCATCATGACTCCTTTTAAACCAGAACATGGCTAGAATTAAAAGGCTAGAGTCCACATTTTATAGTTCTCATCCTTTTCTTCCTTTCTTTTAGACTTGCTGAACATTTCCTAATTATTTCTTGCTAATACAGTGCCATGCTTGGTATCTTTTTTATTCTGCCATTAACCTCTGCTGTCTTAAAATTCCAGTTTGTATCTCTATCATGTAAGTTTATTTTTTTAAATTAATTCTTGCTTGTATTTACTCATTGTCTCATTTATTCATTCATTACTCTTTTCCTGACATAATGGTAAGTTGTCAAGGTACAGAATGAACCAGAGAGGCGGAGTTCATGCTTAACCTCCTACCCCTGGGATCACTTTGTCCTTCGTGCCCATGTGTTGTATTAATTTGCTAGGGCTGTCCTAGCCAAGTACCACAGACTGGCTTAAACAACAGAAATTTATTGTTTTTCGGGTCTTGAGGGTAGTCGTCCAAAAGAAAGATGACAATATAGGGTCAGTTCCTTCTGAGGAGTTGTGGGAAGGGTCTGTTCCAGGCCTCTCTCCAGCTCCTGCTACCCCGTCAACTTGTAGTTGGCCACCCTTCCCCTGATTCTCTTCATATTTTCCCCCTCTCTATATGTCTATTTCTGTTCCCAAATTTCCGCTTTTTATAAGGATACACATCGTATTGATTAGGGCCCACACTGGTGACCTCATTTTCATACCTCTGTAAAGATCCTGCATCCAAACAATTCCCATTCTGAGGGTTAGGCCTCCACCGTATCTTTCTGGGGGGAGCAATGCAACTTACCTACATCTATCTAAGCACTATAGCATACCTTTTGTTTGTCTAAAAGCAAAAATGAAATTTTTGTTTGGTTGGATTTTTCTCTCATTTTTCCAGATCCCATCAGTCTAGTATCAATACCACAGCCCCAAAACTAAATTATATTTTTTACAACATTTATGTAAACAAACAGTTGAATCTTGAATCCTACTCCCTGTCACAAATTCAAATGTTTAACTTTGAGTAAAGATGGGGAAAGGTTACTACTATTTCCTTAATTCTTCCAGCTTGTGCCACAGAATATTCCCAAGAGATAGAACCAAGACAAGTGACACTTTGTTCCTTCACATGGAGCTAGGCTTGCGAGATGGCTGTGATGTGATATACTACATTTCCATCGTATTTAGCAAAGGCACAGGAAGAGGTATACCTTCTAATGAAAGCTAGTGTGAAAAGTAGCATATGGACAGCAGTTTTCTAAGTTTTGTCAGTAAAATACTTCTTTAATTAAATTGTTTTATGGAAGCCAAAGCCTTAAAAATGGGGAAAAACTAAGGCAGAATGATCAAATATCTATTCGTAACAACTAAAAGAAGTAACATGTATAATCTTTCCATTGCCACGTCTGACACTTATAAATATGTTTAATAACACCAATTCTCTTTTTCTTGGTAATATCTCTATTTCCTTAGTAGAAATTAGCCAGTTATCATTAAAGAGCTTTACTTTATGAGTTGGTAGAAATAATTCTTAAATGTCTTAGTAACTGTGTACTTTCTCTGGAGTATGTTATGATGCTTCTGTAGAAAATTCAAATTCCTCAGTAACTACTTTGAATTTCACTCTTGGGTCGTGAGGCCTTCCTTACCTGACCAATTTAAATTAGTATCGTCTGCG